GGGGGTAGTACCTATATTTGGCAAATAGAACACTACATTTTAATCTTTCCAGATCTGACCACCTGCAGCTGGATGCATTGTTTTCTATTTAATTTCCACCTCTCCTCAAGCTACCCAAAAACATTCAAGGAACTTATGTCACCAGATCTTACTGCCCATTTAGGTATCCACAAGGTTACCTAGCGGTCTTACTGCTGGGCTGCCTTCTTGGGATAAGTAACTGTCAGAGTGATTTATTACTGGATTGGAATAGGATCTTTCCGGCTATCCTGTAGAAAGAGATACTAGGTATTACACGGAAACGATCACCAAGCCATCTTTTACTGAAAGCGGACACCTCATACTCCTTGCAACTTCCAGTGATCATCGTAACACCAACTGGACGATCGTCACGCCACGACGTCTTTTCTGGAAATCACAATCTCAACGCCCACTTGGGTCAGTGTGTGAAATGGCTTCTTATGAGAAACAGCACTTATACGGGTTATGGCGCCAGATACCATATTAGCTATTCAACTGCTCTCACATGAGATTGAACTAGTATTTTGTGATTTGACCTGTGAAGTGTTAACCACTACACTATAGACCCACAGGTCTATTCTATTAATTTCTTTAAGACTCTTTAATAGATTAATTAATATGTGGGTTAATAAATTAATTTTCTGAAATTCTTTAAAATTCATAATAATTGTAAAGAATTTAGATTTTTCTTTGAAATTAAAATTGCTATATAATAGCTAATTGATGTTTATATTTGAATCAATATTTTTTAATCTTGATGGAAGATTAAATTTATTGATCTAGAATATTTGTAAGTTGATTCAATATAGTTCTAGTAGTAGAAAGAATCAATAGTTATTATTAAGGTTTTTAATAAAGAATTAAATATCATGGAAATTTGTAATATGAATTTGAATTTCTAGTTTAAGTTTGTATTTATTGATAATTAAAGAAAATGTTAAAAAGAGATTTTTGACTTTAAAAAAGCCAAAAAAAAGTTGTTTAAAGAAATATTTGATTTTGAGGTTTTTAATAACTTCTTTAATATTGTAAACAGATATATCTAAAAGAAGAAGGTAAATAAATTCAAGTTCTAATTGATTGTGAAAAAAAGAAAGAATTTTAAAAAATAAAAGATCAAAGTAAGTGAAAGGAATTTTGGAAGGAATAATGAAAAATCTTTTGAGTTTCTTAATTATATTGTCTAAATTTTTGAGATTCTTTCTTTTTTTTAATTAAAAAAAGATGAATAATTTCTTTAAAAATATTGTTCAATTTATTGAGTAGTTTTGAAAATATGAAAAAAAAAATCTAGAAAAAGATTAAATTTGTAGTATAAGTAAGAGATCTTGTTATACTTGCTAATGTTTCTGTTCAGGATTATAATATTTTGATCTTTATTTGTACTAAAACTAGATCCAGAAAAAAAAGTAACTCTAATAAGTTGTCTCTAAATATTTTTATATTTTTATGCAATAAGTCATAATAGTTTAACTTATTGCTATCTCTGAAACAGTATAAAAAATTCTATTTATATTTTATTATTTGGATTAATTAATATAAATTGAGATTAAAAATATTAGTATAAGAAAACAATGAAAAGACTGATATTTAAAAGAAACTTAATTTTGAATCTAATATCTCTGTTGAGTTCTAATATTTTATGTTTTGTTTTATAAATTCTTTAAAATCTTTCTTCAAGTTTTCATGTTCTTTCTAATAGTTTTTAAGTTTTATTATCTTGTTAAAATTAAAAAAACTTTTATCTTTTGCTTCAAATTTAATAAAGATAATCAAATAAAATTTTTGTTTAACTCTTTCTCTTAGTTATTTATTAATGTCTAACAGAAGATTTACTTGCTTATTTGAATTAGTTCTAACAAAAGAAAGTCTTAAGGTCCAGTAAATAATACTATAGTATTTTTTTTATAATAAGTTTATTGAAAATGTTGAAATCTTCTTTTTTTTTATTCTCTGTATTGATAATTATATTATATTCTTTAATTTCTAAATCTTTCAATATTAAATTCTTTTTATATAACTATAGTTTTTTAGTTGTTGCTTTTGTTTTTTCTTTGTTGTCATCTTTATTTAATAAACTTGGTTATATATATTTTGCTTTTGTTTAGAAGTAATTGTTTAAATTGATGATAAAGAATATAATTGAAGAAAAACAAAATTAATATGTTGCTATAAAATAATAGTTATGAATAAAATATTATAGTTATTTTATAGAGATGCATTGGAACTATTCTTTTTTTTCTAGTAAATATATATATTTATAGTGTTGCTTATTTCTATGTCTTTCTGGATAGAAAAGTTTAGATCAATAAATATTGATTAATTATTTTTGTATAGATCTTATACAGATAGTTAAAGTTAATTAATTAATATACTTGATAAATTTGATTGCTGATTTTTCAATTAATGGCTGGTTTTTGATTGACTGGAAATTATAGTTAAATAAGAAGTTTAATTGGCAATTGTGTTGTCATTATATTTGCTTGAGAGTTTTTTTTGAACTTCAGAAACTGAGATACTTTTATTGACAGATGAAGTTTGTAATAAATATAACAAGTCTGTTTTTCCTAGCTAATATATTATTGTAAGAATAAATATCTTTAACTTTTTCTTCAGATTTTTGTTAACTTGGAGCATGTTTCAAAGAATATACTTTGAATAGTTCCAGTCTTTTGTTAAAACTCTGAAAAATCTTATTTTTGAACTGATTATTTCTTGCAAAATTTTTTTGAAGAAAATTATAAAAATCTAAAAATTTATTAAGAAGTTGAAAAGACTTTTTTATAAGAGTTAAGACCTGCACTAGAAAGTTCTTTTAATTCTTTGAAATTGTAAATTCAATTTGAAATATTTATAGGTTTGAAGAGTTCGATCTAATAATATTTGTAATGGAAATAAGCCATTTTGTAAAATAGTTACTAAGTAGAGTAATTGTTAATGTTTTGAATAGTTTTGTTAGAATAATTTCTTTGTTTTTATTTTGGTAGTTTATAAACATATAATATTGAGTTCTGTCTATAAAAATAATATCTAAAAATAGATTGTTACTATTTGCAGGTGGTTCTTACTGTTTAGAATTAAACTTGAATTTTGTTTAGTTATAATTGCTTAAGTAATGTATATTATAAAGTTGATTATGAACTTTGTTTGTTGTTATATATGTGTTTGTTATGTATATATTAATATAGTACTGTTAATGTTAATGTATTTGTTTGTATAAAGTATTGTTAACATGTTTGTTAATGTGTTTGTTTGTTTGGTATATATACTGTATATTATATAGTCATCATGGTTGTTATTAATATGTTTCTTTTGACATATTTATATTATTAACATGCCTACATTATTGACATGTTATGTTGTTTGCTTGAACATGTTTTATTTGTTTGAAATATTTGAATACATATGTTTGCATTGTCAATTACTTATTGAGAATAAGCTGAATCTGATTACTTCTTCAGGTCTGAAGAATTTATCATATAACTTGAACAATTAATAATAATAAGTTTGTTGTTGTTTATTATTTTTGGGTCCTTTAACTTGAATTCTCTTTGAAAAGTCTGGTATTATCTTGTTTTTTATCTGGTATCTAAGTTATCAAATTTATCAAATGAAATCTGGCCAGCAAAAATCCTTCTTGTGTTTAGAAAGATTCAGAAACTTGTACACAACTGGTTAGAAGCTAGAAAAGCTGATGTTAACTTTTCTTTTAGCTTATTATAAATTGCATTGCTTATGTTTTTTTTCTCTATTATAAAATTTATCTATTTTAAGAGAAAAAGAAGTATCAAGTAAGGAATTATTAGTAGCAAATATGTTTTACAAAGTAGATTTATCACGAGAGTGAGATATGCGATATTTTTTTGCCATTGTATTTATTGCATCAAGTACTACACCTATTGATCCTTTAATTTCTTGAATCGCCTCATCCGAAAGAAATGTTGCGTTAGCACTATAATATTTTTTATGTATACGTCCCATATCAGCAACATAAGTGTCCTGCTTTGCAGAAATATTTTTATTATCACATATAAAGAAAAGTTTCGAAAAGTTTTAAAATGTTTTGAAATATTAGTTATACATATAGTAGTTGATATATAATGAAAAATATACAAATATTCCAGAATATCTTAAAATGTTTCGAAATGCTTTATTATATTAAACTAGACGAAAAACAGAAAAAATAATAAACGTGCTAGTCTCCTTCAAGGAGCAATTCAACATGACTTTGAACATGTAAAATAAAAAATAAACACGCATCCGGAGATAGCGACAGATCGTACTTTGTGTAATTGCTAGCAAATTTTTTGCCTATGAAAATGGAAAAGTACAATCTCGTCCCCAAATTACTTCCCAATTATGACCAAAAGCATATTCTCTTGCAAGATTCTTTAAATAGAAATGATTATCATTGCAATATTTTCCACCGACCCAACCATCCCACCAAAATATTTTCGGCGACCACTTATTGCCCCAACCTTCGGCGTATGCTTCGATTAGGTATCCTGCTGCCCAATTTGGAGAGGTAAAGTTCAGTACATGGCTACCAGTATTGGGGTCGAATTCATCATGCCATCTAGCTTGTCCATTCTCGTCAAGCCAGTGAAGACGTATCCAATTTAGTGGGTCAAGGTATCCACGAACAATCATCCATACTAGATGTGAGGGATGATAAGTATCGATTTCTGCTGTTGTATTTGCAATATTTGTAGAATTTTTTGTATCCTTGGTGATAATGGGACCCGCCGTGGAAGGTTTGACTAGTATGACTAGGATCAATAATATGCATATAGCTTGCAATTTACGCACAAACATTGTGGTTACGTTGATTGCTTGCTTGGATAGAATTTACTTCCAATTTATATCTACGTTGGAAAATGTATTGTATAAGCGATCTTTTTCATTATATCGTTGAATATCAATGCCGATTATACCTAATATTTTTTTTTATCCCCGTACATTCTCTCTTTGTGTATTTATAAGTTGAAGAATAGGTCCATAAAGTCGTGAACTATAAATAAATTTTCAACTCACACTCACGTTTCTTTCAAACCATTGAAAAGGAGAAATGAGTGGTGTATTGTGACGGGTTACCTTATTAAAATCGAATCATTTTGTTATGCTGACATCTCACAGTTATGTCTTCTTTTTCTGTGCGCGCAACCTTTTGGTTCACGTAACTCAATTTACTTGTAAGGCGGTCATCGTAACAATCTTATTAATAGTGACTATTATGCTAACTAATGTCGTCCAAGGCTGATAAAATTTTATTACTTAATTCTGATACAAAATTGCCATTTGAAATTTCCCTTTGTTGTATGTCAGATTGAAATCTATGTCAGTTCGTCCCAGCAATTTGTGCGTTCCCTGATTGGCGGATTAATTTCACATTATGTGGATCGGAGCAAGAACGACAAATTTGTAATGTCCGTTGTTCCTATCTGTTTCCATCCCTATCACACACACACGCTTTATTAATAAGTGTGAAAAAATAAAAAGTTGTGTTGCGCAAAATGGTTCTAATGGCTTTCGGAAACATATATAGTTTTCGTAAAGAATAACACTCGAAGTCTTGGAATGAAAAAGAAAACCAACTAAACGGGACAGGAAACGTTCTCAATTTTCGCTGATTTATGATTGGCTGATACAATTTTTGGGGACGGAACATGGCTACAAATTCCATTCCGAATTGACATAAGTCAGATAATAGTAAGACAACAACAACTTTATTAAATAATCTATCTATATAAAATGCCACTTGTGATATTATTACTTATTACTTCTTCATATTGTACACTCGAATACAACAGTATTGCACGTAACGAATTATTGCACTGTCGATTATGACGGTGGTTAAACTATACTTCATAACTTTCTTTTTTTTATTGTCATATGTAATCATACCACAATGTAAACTCAGTCTATCGCATTATCGATAAATTAAATTCTACTGTAAAATGGATGTGAAAAATCGATTAATTTGGTTAGTTACTAAAATAAATTTAGAATTATAACTAA